GCTGCTGAGGGCAGCGCCATAGCCCAGCCTCCATAGCTGGCAGGGCTTGGATGTACAGTGAGGCGCAGGGGTGGTCTTCGGGTGTATACAGAAGGAAGACGTGGGTGTAAGACGAGGGAGAGAGAGAGAGAAGGATGATGATGATGATGATGATGCGAGGGCACATACCTGGTATTGGCGATGGTCTGCATGGGCGACATCTTCAAGTACTTCGGAGGCTGCTGACATCAACAGTTGCATTGTCAATTAGTAGGCTAGTAGTAGCTGTGTAGGGAGTAGGCTGGGCGTCGAGCGCCAAGTAGGGAGATAGGGACTGGATACATATGTTGGTGGTGGCGAGAGCAAGCTCTCATTGACATTGGTTTTCAGTGCTACGATTCTCCATTGGTGTTATATTGGTGCAATGCTGCTTTCTGGACACTGATACGATCTGGCTTTCAATGTGATTGTGCAATCTGAATATTGTCATCTCGCTTCTGTTCATTTTCCTTGCAACTTGGTATCGGAGCTGGTTCAAACTGCGCTCATTGGTTCTTCGCAATAGCTGTTCGGTGCTTCGCATAAGGCTTGGGCGTTGAACAGTAGGCGGCCCAGGGTCGTGTGGGCGCGCCAGGAAGCTATGTGGTGACACTCGGGGTGTACGCTGGATGATGAGAGCTTGCTGATGTGGCATTTAAGCCGAGATGGAACTACATTCTGCTGTTGGTTGTGCCAAGGCAAAGACCGGTCATCATAAATGCACATCAGGTCGCTGGTGAGAAATCTGTGGTTGGGGGCAGCATTATGAGGTATGTTGCTTCCTTCCTTATCTACCCTCTTCATTGCGTCTTACCGTGAGGAGGTGAGTTCTGTCTTGAGAGTCCTCTCAATGTGAGGTACTGCGAGCGCTCAACCTTGAGAGTCGACATTCTTCCTGGGCAGCAAGCTGGTGGGAGACGGGCGTTGCCTCTGAAGGGCCCTGGACGAAGCACTCGGGTCACGGTCACCATGCCAACCCGCTGGGACTAGTACACGCATGCTTTGCCGCAAGTCCTTGGTTCTGCTGCTGCACAATAGAGGTCATGCAGGGCATGCCAGCCCTTTGAACAGACACTTACCAGACCGTCCCTAAATATTTCTGGCGGGGACTCGGTGTTGATTCTGGCTGTGATCGTCGTCCTGTCTGCGACATTAAATAATTCCTGAGGAGTTCCGGGGGATATCCTTAAATGCCTCCTGATCAGCCAGATCAAACAGGGTGTAAGGCTCGTTGCATGCGAGGATAAATAATGTGCAGGGGCTGGCAGGTTTAACGTTGACTTGGGGCACGGGGGTGGGCCGGATTGCACACCTTCAGACACGCTGCTCAACCAGATGCTCAGGGCGTTGACACAAAGCGACAACTCAAGAAGGACACAGGGAGAGGGGGGATTCCGGTAACTGTTCGCGGTGACAATATTTTGACAAAACTGCCATCCAGCATGCATCTCAACAGGTAGGTTATTTTATTTTTGATTATTTAGTTGTTACGGACTTGTTAACAATTAAAGCTTACCTGTAGGATCTAACATTGATTGTTGGTTACTATTTGACTACTTCTCTTCAGGCTGACCGGAATTAGGTGTTTGATCATACCCGGTTGTGTGTCATGCTGAGGTAGGGTTCAATGCGGACTCTAGTTTAGATCACACACTGTAACTCATGAGTGATGCAGGCCGTAGTGAGGAGGAAGAACGAGTAATAGAACCGCTTAGAGTGACTCGTAGAACTGCACTCAGTCAACCGATTACCTTCTTGGAATTAGGCCAGGGAGAGGAAAGGCGGCTGCGAAGGGAAGCCAGGGAAAGGACGATATTAGAGAGGGCTAGGACAGCGGCAACCAACGCTGAACGGACACTTCCAGCAGCAAGACTAGCGGACGCTAGAGTTCAGGTTGAGGTTGCGATGGCTACCTCCTCTACAGTGTCACATACCTTATCCCAGTCCTCTTCGTCAGGTGTTAGTCAGGGTATCTCTCAGAGTTCTGTTAGTCAATCTGTTGGCTCACAAGTCAGCCAGCACATGCCACTCACACCAGAGGATTATGAGATCCTCCAGCCARAGGAACTTCATGATGAGTTGCAGCGGCAGTTGAGAGAGGCAGCAGTGAGGAGAGAACGGGCACATGCCACTCACACCAGAGGATTATGAGATCCTCCAGGCAAAGGAACTTCATGATGAGTTGCAGCGGCAGTTGAGAGAGGCAGCAGTGAGGAGAGAACGGGCGATTTTAAGAAAGAACCGACTAGGGAGTAGGAGACAGGAGCTAGGCAGATTATAAGCATTAGATGAGTCGACATTTGACCCTGCGATACGAGCGCTGCGTAACTCGCTCCTTTGTGTGGCTGAAGCGCAGGGTGCTCAGCAGGAAGTGCTGGCCGAACTAGTGGCAGGCCAGAAGCAAATTTTGGCTGCACTGCAGGCTCCTCGTCCCATTATGAGGCAGCCTCAGTATGTTGTAGCTCCCCCTTCGCGTGCGGGTCCCTCAGTGATGCCGTCACCAGTAGGGCCATCCTTCTATCCTATGTTTAGCATTCCTCCATCAAGTAGTCAACCAATGGTTAGTGGTCCGGTTCTTAGAACTTTTGCCGTACCATCCACGACAGTGGTCACTACAGTCCCACTGTCAAGTCAGGTCTAGGGTAGCATGCAGCAACCTGTTTCGGTGGCTATGCAGCCACTGCAGCAATCTCCTGGGCCAATGCAGCCTATGCAGTGGATGCCCAAAATACCCTTGTTGAGTCCTAAACCCTTCTCCGACGACAGGAAGAAGGATGAGGATTTGGATACCTGGGTAAGGACGGTGCCTACTTATGTGAGGCACAAGCTTACCAGGCCGGAGCAAGAAGTTGTAGAGGCTGCCTCCTTTCTAGAGGGGTCAGCAGCCCGCTGGTTGAATGGCCTAGTGCAGCAACAGGGCTACAGTCAGAACTTCGATGCTTGGGCCCAGGCCCAGACATTGGAAGAGTTTGTACGGTCCGTGTACAATAGGTGGCATGACCCACAAGGGGCTCAAAAGGTCACAAACGCGATCAACAGTCTTTGTGCCAGAAGGTACAAGAATGTTAGAGAGCTCACGGATACTGTAGAATGTCTGCTCGTGGTACCTGGTATGCGCCATGACCAGCAGGTACTCCTTATGGATTACCTTAGATGTCTGCCTTCAGAGGTTAGGACAAAGTTGGTAGACGAGGCCTATGTGGAACAACACAACTTCCCTTCCTACAACAAGAAGGCCTTAGATAAAGAGGCACAACTGAGATCTGTGCATCAGAGTCAGGGAGATGGTAGGAAGAAGAGACTACCCCAGGGCTGGAAGAAGAGAGGTCAACTAATGTTCGTCGACCACGATGGTCAGGTGACAGAAATTGACGGCTTCCAAGACCTTGGGGAGGAGACGGAGCATGATGGGGCCAGCGAGACTTCTGATGGGGGAGTCGTGGCACCCATCAAGGAAAAGGCTAGGGGGACCAGGAAGAAGAAGGTAGTACGGTCCACGGGTCAAGGCGATCAAGGTACGCCCACATGGGTGAAACTTGGTTTAGAATATGAGGTGTGGAGGGACCGAGTTGCTAGGGGTACGTGCATGAACTGTGGCAACTATGGCCACACGTCCCGAACATGCCGAGGCAAGGAAATCCTGACGGGTAGGCTCCCCAACGGTGGTGGGACTATCTTCGAACCCTGGCGGTGCTTCTGCGAGCACTTCGCAGGGAAACACCTCGGGACAGTAGGAGTTTTAGCCGCTCTTACTCGCGCTGAAGTGGTAACGTTGCCTTCCCCACTTCAGGCGTTGGCCAAGGCCAGTGACCCACCTATCGCCCCGCAGACACATTCAGACCCACGGACGCTCTGTTCGAGAGATGTGTCAAAGTCCCTAGAAGAGTTAGAGACTGAGTGGTCAGGGAAGGACCCCAAAGACTCTTGGGCGATGATCAATAGAGGTCCAAAGGGTGAACATTTCGTGGTAGAGGTTGATGTAGGTGGCCGCAAGGTAGGCACTTCGCAGACATAGGCTCTACACGAAACTTCATCAGTCGTGCTTGTGTGGATAGACTGCGCTTA